CAGAGGTGAGGAACAATGCAAAGATAGTGGAGGCGCTATTACATGCTTTTTATAATAGAAAGTCAATAGCAAGAACAAAGGACAAAGACTATCCTCTATGGCAACAAATTTATCATTCATCACCACTTGACAAGCCACCTATTTTGTTCTTAGAAACTGCAGAAAGCGAATTAATAAGCGGCACAAGAAACCGCTCCAATATTGCTCAGAATGATGCGGCACGGTTGGCATGACAGTACATAAGCAGAAGATTAAATGCGGCTCCAGCAGTAATTTTATGTTACTACTAAGCTTCTAAAACTGTTATCTTGGCAAGATATGGAGACATTTCAGTTTTTACTATAAAAGAGTTTCAGTTCAGAAAGGCCAAGTTAATGGTAATTATTATGATTGCCTATCAATACCTAAATTATTGCTCATGAATACCTAAAAAACTGAAATGTTGCGACAATAGATGCATGGTATATTGTTAAAAGACTTTGAGTCAGCTCTTTACTGTTCTGATTATCCAATTTTAGGAGTCTTATAAAATGACAGATTTCTACACTTTTGGAAATCTCAAATTCACGTTGCTGTGCGAAAAAAAACCTCAATTTCTTGCTTTTACACGTCACTTCTAGTAGATATATAAGCGAATAATTTATGTGTCAAAAAGGACTTGAACTAGTCAGTAGAACATCGAGCAAACAAATTGTTATATTTTGATGATTTTGCTTTTTATTTCGCTAATAACGAAAATATTTCCAAGACGTTTTCGCGGTTGAGTGAAAAAGCTTTTTGAGAAAAACGCAGTGATTTTTCACCTTCTGCAGTGAAACAAAAAGCACCATTTTTCCAAAAAAGTGTAATTACGTTGTTCAAAATAAGTGCTTATGGCACTCAAAGTTATCAGCCTTTTATACAGTGGCCTCTTTTTGATAAAACTGATAAAAGTTCCAAAAAATTGCAAAATTCATAGTGGTGAACAGCTTTACATTGACCTCATTAATGTTCTTTTTACCGACTTTTAAAAAGATTATTTATCTTAATTGTTGAAAAACATTCCGATAAGATAAAAACGCAAAAAACAGAGTGAGGTAAGACATTTTCTGATTAGCAAATAGTATGATTTCCACCTCGTGAACCTCTGACTGCTTTCTATTTTATCTATTAGTTTTTGTTTTTTTTTTTTCGTTTTATTATTGATATCTTTCGATTGCGTCTATTATATATAAATTGTCAACTTTTATAAGAAATACTAATAATGTTGGTAATTCAAAGCAGATAAAGGGGTGCCAAGAATAGAAATTAACAGCGATTAATGCGTATTTTTCTGTAGGAACGTGTAGCTTTCAAACACTAAACTTTTTGTTCTTGGACTAAAATTTTACTGAAGGAAACCAGCAGAAGACTTTCAAAGTTACACAGTGCTAGAAGAAAACTTAAAAAGAAGTATTATAAGAAATCAGAAATGTTTTTTGTCTGAATTATTTGTTTAAAGTTAGTAGAATGCAATGAAATAATTTTTAGCAACAAGTGCTTCAGTAGTAGACTGAAAACTTATTTTGTCACAATTTTTTCCACAAAACAGAAGAACGGGAGTATTTAAAAAAAAAACATTTAGCCAATAACTTCAATTGTCGTCAAAAACGAATATATTTGCCGTGTGAAAAAAGCACAAGTCTGAGCATTTACAAACTGAGGTAGGCTCAGCTATGCAAAAGAATTTATCAGAACCTTGCATATCTGTTAATTCATTGCTCTTTAAAATAAGCTTTTTTTCTGAATTTGCCTAGGCGATTTATAGTTGTTACAATAAACAAAAAATATTTTTGTTTCAGATTTTGCATTACTAAAGCTTTTTCTTGAATGCTGTCTGCCACAGTTTCATGTTTTTTCACAGCACTAAAAAAAATAATTACTACGGAAATGTTTGTCAAACGAAGAAGTTTTCTACATTTCTTCAACGTTAATAACCTTTTAGATACTCTGAGATAGCTCTTGCCTCACTTTCTGTATCTATAATTGGAAAACCAATGTTTATTTTCTTGCAAGGCTTAGTGGCTTCACTAACTGATTGTCGAAAACCCTCCTAAAACGACAAATCTAGAAGCAGCAAATTCAGATCATTTTCGTAAAAATCATTCAAAAAAAAATATTTGAATAACCTTAGTTTCTTAACTTTTCCAACTTTATTAAACACAAGTTTTGATGACAATTTAAAACTAAGCAAATAACTGGCTGTCTCAACATCTCACCATATAACCGCAACAAAATCTACTTTCTTGTATTATAAAACTAAAATTTTTGAATATCTATTTAAAATTCACTTCTTCTGCTTACTTAATTAGTTTTTGCTTCAAAAACGTAATTTTTTACTTTCTGATTACCGAGTAGTCTGACTTTTGCTGCTTAAGAGCTCAATTTTTGTATTTTTTATTTTTCGGTTTTTTTGGACATTATTTATTTTTTCGATTACCGTTCAATAATTCTAGTTTTTCAACGTTTGGAACAAATACTACGAATGCTGATATTGTAAACCTGATGAAGCAGTGTCAAGAAAAAAGTTAATAGCGATTACTAGATTTGTTTGCGAGGAAATGTGCAAGTTTTAAACACCACACTTTTTTGCTGTTGAGCTGAAATTTTATTGTGCGAAAAAATCAGAACAATTTCAAGAATGACACAATGATTTAATGAAGGTTAAAGAAAAGCCTTACGAGAAATCAGAAACGTCTTTTTTTTAAGCATTTTTTTTTTCACTTTAGTAGAATACAGTGAAACAATGTATAGCAACAGCCGCTCAAACTGTTCCTCTAAAATCCATCTCGTCACAACTTCTTTCGCAAATCAGAACAGGGGCAACATTTGCCGGAATAAAGTGCATGCAAATATACCCGCCATTCATAACGGTTTCATTCCTCACAGTAAAAGGAAGAAGTTTCTGGCACGTAGGAACTGCGTTGGTTGAAGACTCAGTAATGTAGAAAATCGGATGACCATAACCCGTTGCATCTGCAAATTCATATTAATTGGAGACAATCTTTTTTCTGGTATCTACTCTACTAATTTACGTTCTTTAGAACAATGTGAATGTTTTAATGTTTAAAACTTAGTATTACTAAAATTCTGTTTCAAGGGTAATCAGCCGCAGTTTCTTGTTATTCTGCAAGACTAAAAAGAAAATGGCTGCCACCAAAACATTTGTCAAAACTAGAAGTTCTGTGTATCTATGAAGCTAACGACCTTTCGCAAACTTCGAGATGGCTGTTGCCTTTTGTTTTGTGCCTATGAATGGAAGTTTAGCGCCCATACTTTCACAAATTTCATTAGAGCTTTTAGAATTCGCTGGAGGGTTTTCGCCTGTTTTAAGTGGTCTCTGAAATTTAAAACTTAGAAGCAATAGATTCAGATTATTTTTCGTAGAGACACATTTGTAAGCAGCTGCTGTAGACTTTGTTTTTGACACTAATCTGTTGCTAAGAACTTGTTTTTTATCCTTTTTTCAACTGTAATAAACAACAACTGCTAGTTTTGACGACAGTCCAAAAAGTTGGAGGAACATTTACAAAGCTGCTTCAACATCTTACCATAAAACTGCTTCAAAATTTATCACTTACTTTACAAAACACAAATTTTTAAATTCTAAAAAATCTTTATTTCGTTTTGCTTTTGTAAGTTTAATTTAGTGAAATAAGTAATTTTTAAAATTTTTCTCACATATATGAAGCAGCTGTTTTCTTCGCAAACAAAACGTTCAGAAGCGTAAGGTAGCATCTGGTTCATTTTCAACACTGCAAATGGCAAAACTTGGAATAAAGCTGCACGAATAAGGAATTTTTGAATACTACGCTGCTTTTTTAATTATCTATTATTCAAATAAAGTATTATTACAGGCTTAACAAAAAAACCAAAAAAAGTAGCGAAAAGTTATGATAATCGTCTATATTACAGTGATTGTCCAAGAATTCTCTGCTGCAACTCGTGTCAATGTTAGAGTAGTTGTTTCTGTCTCGAATGTATATGTCTTTAACGAGTGTTGAATCTATTTTTCGTTCTGCATATTTCCAACAGGTACAACGAAACTCATTGAAATGAAAGGCTGGATAGTTGTCGTTTATGTTGAGGCAGGCCGCTGCGCAGTGTTTATCACTTGTTCTGTTTGGCAAATTTTTAGGGCAGAACAGAGTCAGATTGGCTTTACTCAATGCAATAAAGTTCACTTGCTTCATTCCACAGATTACCACGTAGAGACAAACGAGCGTTGGAAAAAACCGTGAAATACCCATGTTAACAAAAACCTAAATTTGTTGGTTCACAGAGACGAACCAAATAAAGAAGCAGCGGCATTTACTTGCTTGGATCTGTAAAATCTAATATATCTCATTAATATGCTCAACATTTATCGCGTTTGTGAAATAACACCAATCAGGATTTACTTTTCATTAGTTTTTTTGAAAACTAACACATTTTAAAAAAAATGATAGAAAAAAGCGATTGGAATGTACGTAAGTAAAGGTATGAAAGCACTGCCCGGTAACAACCGGCACTAAAAAAGAGAGCAGCTTTCAAGGCATATGCTACAAGATTAAGCAAGAACAAGCCTTCAAAAAAATTCCTTATTTAGTTGCAGGGTTGTAAAATAGACAATGCTGTTATAACTTTGAGCCATTTTCAAAAAAAAAATACTTTTTCAAAAAAAATTATTAATTGGATGAAAGGTTAAAATTTATGGTTGTTTTTTGCTATTCAAAAACGCACTGTTACCTTTTTTTAGTAGACAAAAAGGTTTTTGAGGTAAACGACATCTCTTCCTCACCTTTTCAAAAGCTTTCTAGCTTAAAAAACAGGAGGACTAAATAGATGCTGTAAATTAAACTCTTTATAAAATGCTTAGTAGGAAATCTAACTTAGAAAGCATTTAAAACTGTTATGGAAAACAACAATTGTGGTTGCCGTTTTTTAAAGCGATTATACTTTCTCTCTTTGTTGGGAATGAGATTTTGTCAGTTAGTTGAAAACTGTAGAAACAAAAACATTTTTGTCTTTTTTGAAATTGAACAGAAGGTATTTGAGACAATTAAAATTTGTCTTTCTTTTTATCGTTCAGATAGTTTTTTTACTCTTTTTTAATTCTGATCTAGTTTAGGTTTTAGACTTAGCTAATTTTTTCTGAAAAATCTTTGGTTTAATTTGCAGAAACTGTGTTTCATACCTTTCCTTTATTTTCTGTTCTTTAGCTACAAAAAAAAGAGAGAAAAAATTTCTTGAAATTGTCGAGAATTGTATGAAAAAAGAACAGAAATTAGTCAACAGTAGGAACTTCAGGTTAGCAGGTACAGTATCGTGCAATATAGCATGTAGTTCAATCGTTTTCTTTTCTGAAACGTCTTGGTAAAAAGCAAATTCTGCCAGCTGTCAGGCAAATAACCTTATTGACAAATTTCTGGAGAACCAAAGTATTTTTGTTAATAAAAACATTTATTTTAACTGTGATATATCAAGGATTAAAGTCTGAAATGTCTTTGTTGAGGTTGAGGCATAAAAAGTGATTTTTTCTTACTTTATTCAATACTGTTTCACAGCAAATTTAAAGAAAAAAGTTTATAAATAATTTAGTATTTTGCTGTTTTCTGACCATTGTGCTTATAGTTATTTGCTGTCTCTGAATTGGCAGTCTGCAGCAAGAAAAAAGAATACAATTCGTCACTTTTTGAAACTTTATCACTTTGCATAGGCGGCTTCTTTCTCTAACAACAGTTACCATACATTCTAAACGTGAACAGTCAGAATGATCACCTGTCTTCTCAGAAGCTTAAATAATCTGAGTAATATCGAAGCTTATTATTTTAGTTTTCAGTTTTTTTGTGTATTCTCGAATCGTTTGCAGCAAAAGTGTTACTAAAATACTAAACCTTGAGGAAAAGGTAGACTTTTCTGTAACATTCAAAACGTTTTTTACAGTGTCATTTTTTTAGATCTTTTGCAGTAGAATAAAACATTAGCATGGTTTAAAAACCTTCATTGTATAAAATGATCGAGTAAAGTTGAAAATAAGATTTTTGGTAAAATAATTAAAAAATTTCAGAGATGGTCAGTTTTTTCTGAAATTTCGGTGGAAGCAATTAATTGTTTTTGCATACTGTAGATGCTTATCAAGGTGTTAAAACAGATCCAACAATTTTCTTGATATTTAACTCAAAATTTTTATATTTTTTGAGTTTCAGGAACAAATCGTAAGGTTTTCTTCG